ATATGTCCAAAGATGTCTATGTTTTAAATATAATTATTTTAATAGCTACTCATGTACAGCTATTATCTGCTAATTACTGTAGCAAAAAAGACAACTGAACTTCTACACTTTCAACATATGATGATTTATCTAGTTTTTGCAAATTTAACCATCATTAATTGTGTGTTAAACCGAATAAATTGTACACATGCCACATATGAAAATTATTCAAAATATTTGACTTAATATTTTAAAAACAAAAGTACTTTTCTGGTTTTTGACAAAATTCTCCTTGACCATTACAGTATGCTTTACTAGAAACTGCTATAAATTTTTAATAAAATCCTATAGTAAAAACTGAATGTTTTGTTCTAATAAAGTTTATTTAAAACCTCTAATGATTTTCAGTAATATAAGTAGTAGAATTTAATGGTATCATTATTTTAATTTTCAGACTTTTTGCATTTTATCATTATAAAATATCAATAATGAGTTTCTTATATTCTGAGATCTTTAATTATGTTGCTTTAAAAAGAAAACAAATTATATAAAACCAATTCAACCAAAAATTCTCTATGAGCTAATGTACACAAACAGATATTTGTGTCTTTTTTCATACCCTATAATGTGGCATGTGAAATAAAATAGGTCTTCAAAAGGTATTGTGTTGAGTAATATTAAAAAAACCCAAGTCATTTTAAGGACTATCTCACTTATTAAAACTGTTTTTCAGATAAGCAAAGTAAACATTATTTATCTTCTGAACAATTTGGTTAACTCTGTTGATTCATAAGGTACTCCTGTTCTGGCCTCAACCAAGTTATCTACACCTTAAAGCAGATTCACGAGATTCATCATATTTGTTTTATCATTTTTATAATAAACTAATGAAATACAATGCACTCATTATTTTATAAAAGATAAATTTATAAATGTTCATTTTTGTCCCCAAGCAAATAAATTAAGCTAACTCTTCTATATATTTAAGGCACCCTTTTCTCTTTATCATGGTTGCCTAACAAACACAGCTCAGATTGGTATGTTGCCTAATATTCAGTTTATTCAACTTGGTTTTACTTTTATTGTGAAAAATCTTTAAAAATACAGAAATAGAGGAAACATTACAATTAGTCAATGAAACTTTTACTCCAAGCTTTGATAATTTTGAATAATTTACCAACACTGTTTCCATCTATTCCCTCCTCCGTATTTGTTAGTAAAGCAAATCTTGGATACCATATCATTTCAACCACGTTTTGAGTTTTCCTCAAAGAAAAATACTCAGCACCCAAATAATAAAAATAATTCTGTGATGATTATTCCTTCCCTATTCAAACTTCTCTGATAAACTCAGAAATATATATTTTACAGTGTCATATGTTTTGCAAAAAAGGTGTCACATTGCATTTGCCACTTTTAATCTATAATACCCTTCTTCTTTTTACCATGTCATTTCCTTGTTGAAAAATCCAGACCATGTGTCCTGTAGAATTCCCCATATTCTATATTTAGTTATTGGCAATCCCATTGTAACATTTTTACATTCCCTCTCCCCTCATCCCAATACTTCCTGTAAAATTATAGTTTAATTAAGAGACCTAAACAGATTTAAGTACTTGTGGGCAGGAGTGGTGTTGCTGTGTAGTTCTCTAGTCATTTCATTAAGAGAGACAAAATGTCTACTTGTTACACTTGCTCTAAAGCTAGCAGTCAATGACATCAAATCAATCACTAAAAAGTCCTCCAGTAACAGTATATTTTCACAATCATGCTATGGCATATATAGACACCATAATGATTCTTTTTAATGACTGCTCAGTGTACCACTGTATGTTCAACAAATGTCCTATCGAAGGACATCTGAGGTGTTCCCAATATTTTGCAATGAGTAGTTATTTACATATATTATTTTGTAAACTTCCAGTGTTTTACAATTAAATTTCTAGATGTTCGATAGTTGATCTAAAGGTAAATGTGTGTGAAGTTTTGGCAGATGTTGACAAAAAAGTATACATTGGCACCATGTGTAATTCTTTAAAATAAATACATAGGAATGGCAACGCTATATAAGGTATCTGCATAAAAGTAAAAAAAATATATACATTTGTAAAATATCTGTCAAATCAAATCCAGGAATAATGTCTCAAGAAATGGTTATCTAAAGTTACTGGCATTTAAGTTAAAAAAAATTGGCTTCTTTTTTATATTAGCCTAAAATCCTAACACCATAAACAAAAACAAACTCAAAATGGACTAGAGACTTAAATGTAAGGCCAGAAACTATAAAGCTCTTAGAGGAAAACATAGGCAGTACACTCCTTGACATAAACCACAGCAAGATCCTCTTTGGCCCACCTCCAAGAGTAATGGAAATAAAAACAAAAGTAAACAAATAGTACTTAATGAAACTTAAAACCTTGGGCACAGCAAAGGTAAGATTAAAAGACAACCCATAGAATAGAAGAAAATAATTGCCACTGAAACAACTGAAAAAGGATTAATATCCAACATATGTAAACAGTTCATATAGCTCAATATCAGAAAAACAAACAGCCCAATAAAAATGGTCAGAAGACCTAAACAGCTATTTCTCAAAAAAAGACACACAGATGGCTAATAAACACATGAAAAGATGCTCAATTATTAGAGAAATGCAAATCAAAACTACAACGAGCTATCATTTCTCATATCAGTCAGGATGGCCATCATCAAAAAATCTACAAAGAGGAAATGCCAGAGAGGATTTGGAGAAAAGGGAACCCTCTTGCACTGTTGAGCAGCATGTAAAAAAAATTGACACAGCCATTATGGAGAACAGTATGGAAATTCCTTTAAAAACAAGAAATAAGACTACCACCTGACCCAGCAATTCCATTACTGGCCATATACCCTGAGAAAACCATAACCGAAAATGGCACATGTACACCAATGTCCATAGCAGCTCTATTTACAATAGCAAGGAGACGGAAGCAGCCTAGATGCCCATCACAGAGAAATGGATGAAGAAGCTTATATAACACAAATGGAATATTACTCAACCATATAAAAAACAAATTTGAGTCAGTTCTAGTGAAGTTGATGAATCTAGAGTCTGTTATACAGAATGAAGCAGGAAAGATAGATTAAAAAAATACTGCATATTAATGCATATATACAGAATCTAGAAAAATGGTATTGATGAACCTATTTGCAGGGAAGGAATGGAGACACAGATAAAGAGAAGAGACTTATGGGCACAGTGGGGAAGGAGAGGGTGGGATGAATGGAGAAAGTATCACAGACATACACACATTCAGTTCAGTTCAGTCGCTCAGTCGTGTCTGACTCTCTACGACCCCATGGACCACAGCACTCCAGGCCTCCCTGTCCATCACCAACTCCCAGACTTTACTCAAACTCATGTCCATCGAGTTGGTGATGCTATCCAACCATCTCATCTTCTGTTGTCCCTTTCTGCTCCGGCCCCCAATCTTTCCAAGCATCAGGGTCTTTTCAAATGAGTCAGCTCTTTGCATCAGGTGGCCAAAGTATTGGAGTTTCGGCTTCAATATCAGTCCACCAATGAACACCCAGGACTGATCTCCTTTAGGATGGACTGGTTGGACCTCCTTGCAGTCCAAGGGACTCTCAAGAGTCTTCTCCAACACCACAGTTCAAAAGCATCAGTTTTTCGGCACTCAGCTTTCTTTATAGTCCAACTCTCACATCCATACATGACTACTGGAGAAACCATAGCCTTGACTAGACGGACCTTTGTTGGCAAAGTAATGTCTCTACTTTTTAATATGCCCTCTAGGTTGGTCATAACTTTCCTTCCAAGGAGTATGCACATTATCATATATTAAATAACTGGTGAGAAGTTGCTATGTAAGACAGCGAGACAGTCTGGCACTCTGTGATGATCCAGAGGGGGAGGCTCAAGAGGGAGGTAATATATGTCTAATTACGGCTGATTTGCGTTGTTGCACGGCAGAAACCATCACAGCATTGTAAAGCAATGTTCTTCCAATTAAAAAGTAAATTAAAAACATTAAAAGTAAATTAAAAATATTAAAATGTTAAAAGTAAATTAAAACATTGTTTTGACAACTGTTATTATATATAACATACTGCATGAACAAAAATTCATGATAAAATATTATACCTGTAAAAAACCTTAGAGGTTATGTCTAATTCATAAAAGTTAAAAACATGGACAATAAATTCCAAGAGGTGGATTTTCTCAAATGTATGCAGTAGGACTCAATATTTTGAAATTCTACTTTAATGTTCCTTCTGCTTTCACTTGAAAATGACTATATTCAAAGTATTTTCAGCATTAATAGAAAGTAAAACCTTGCCATTGTAGTCAAATATCTAAATATGACTGAATAATTAATCCCTATATCCTACTTCAACAGCAGTAATTTTGTTATTGAAAATATTACACTTTACACCTTAATACAAATATAAATACAAATATATATAATGGGCTCCCTGCTTATTTAGCAAGAATTTGTTTATCTCACACTATATCTCTGTGTGTATATGTGTTTATGAGTGAGTGTTTTGGGTTTCCAGTGGTTTTTACTAATTTTGAGGTCAATCCTACTGCATTAACTACCACAGTTATTACTGAGATGGCTAAGATTTGAAAGAGGAAACTTAGATCTACAAAACTTTCATTTGCTGATATCAAATAAGTGAAAAATAGGATTATATTATTGTTCCCTCTCTTTAAAAAAAGAAGATATTAACTTTTTTATTAAGTGTTTCATCAGAATTTCCCCCATGGAAACAGCTTTGTTTTATATTTTTTTCTTATTTAATAATTATCTTCCAACAGAACATATTTTCATAAGAGATTATAAAATCAGCAGAATAATGTATCCAGGTTACCTACCATTCATCCTGCACATGGAATATACAAACTGGGGACTGAAAAGACTGAATGCAGCCTAAGACAATATTTAGCTGATCAAATGCAAGCTAAATGACTAATACCTGAGTTGTAAGAAATTGTGCATTTCCTCAATACTTACCTGAAGGATGAAGATTCTGTTCCTCTAAAAATTCTAAATCAAGCATTAGATCATCTTCATCCAGTTCACAAGAGCCCAAATTATTCAAAACATCCTGAAGAAAAAGCAAAATCAATAGTTAGAAACTAAAACACTGAGAAACTGAGGCAAATATCCACATTTAGTTGTCACGAAGTAAAAAAGAACTCAAACTTCGCAAAGAAATGCTTTAACTGAACCCCAGAAATTACTTGCTATCTTACAAGCTTTAACATTATTAGCACAATAAAAATTTCAATAGTTATAAAAAATTTAACTCATTAAAAATGCATAAAGAGGTTTTTCAAATGTATAGAAGAGTGTGAATTAAACCTTTAGATATTTATCATACCAATCTGAGTAACAGTCTTCTATCACATTTAACAAATTATTTCTCAAACAGTTTTTTTAAACAGCACCAACTCTGAAATGTGTATTCCTCAAAGGGGGGATCCAGTTACTGTTTCCCAATCATTTGCTTTAGATTAGGAGGGATTAACAGTAGAAATAAATATCAATTACATTAGAAATTAATTATTGAATTTTTATGTCATAAATATCAGAACTAGATCATGTTGCCTTTTCATCTTTTTTTTAAGAAGTCAAATAGTACAGCAAACTAGAAGGATATATTGAGAAATCTTGATGGAAACCAGTGATGGGCAGAGGGAGAAACTCCTGAAGGAGGGCTACATTCCTCATCTGTGTGTTTGTATATCGCTGGTCGAGACTATGTTAAGAAGCAACTTCCCTGATAGCTTAGACAGTGAAGAATCTGCCCACAACGCATGAGACCCAGGTTTGATCCCTTAGACAGGAAGATCCCCTAGGGAAGGGGATGGCTACCCAATCCAGTATTTTGGCCTGGAGAATTCCATGGACAGAGAAGCCTGGTGGGCTGCAATCCATGGGGATGTGAAGAATCGGACATAACTGAGCAACTCACACACACAAGTTAAGAAAAGTAAGAAATACCTCATACAGACGAGGATTAAAATAACAAAAGTAACAACAACAAAAGAACATCAAGAAGTACCACCTAAATGTTACATGATACCATAATATTCCAGATTACCTTTTCCATTGATTTGAATATTACCATTATTTATATTTAAAGAAGTATAATATTTGTTAAAGAAAGCCTGACAATGTTGTCAAATGGATACAAACACTTTAGTTCTTGGAATTAAATCAGGGATAATGAAGCTTTTAAATATACCACTCCCACTGTTAAAAAATTGAATTAAATATTATTAAATTTTAGAAACACATGTTATCTGTGAATAGAGCACAGTAGGTTCAAAGGTGATAAATATAACCAAATATATGTGCTTCTTTATATAAATGAAAGTTATAAGGGACAATTACTATACTGGATTCAATTGTATTATACTGTATCTGTATTAATTACAAGGGATCTAATAGTTTATAAATAAAATCAACTGTTTTTGAAAGCTCTATGATATAATGTGGCAAGGATAGCCCACTGAAAATAAGTTGCCTATTTATATAGCATCAAAGATATTATGATTACTAGTTCAGTTCAGTCACTTAGTCATGTACAACTCTTTACAACCACACGGACTGTAGTACACCAGGCTTCCCTACCCAGCACCAACTCCCGGTGCTAACTCAAACTCATGTCCATCAAGTCAGCAATGCCACCCAACTAACTCAACCTCTGTTGTTCCCTTCTCCTCCCACCTTCAATCTTTCCCAGCATCAGGGTCTTTTCCAATGAGTCAGTTCTTCGCATCAGGTGGCCAAAGTATTGGAGTTTCAGCTTCAGCATCAGTACTTCCAATGAATATTCAGGACTGATTTCCTTTAAGAT